GATTGACAGAGCTAGTTCCCCAGCCTGTGGTAATTTGAGTTTATAAACAACAGGAAAGTGAAACTGACTTTAAAGTCTGCAGTAATTACAACGTAACACAGAAGTACCTAGTACCTGTGTGCTACATTAACCTACAGAGTCTTGGAGCCCTGTTATTCTCTCTGACATAAGCATTCCTGAATATGACTGATCATAAAACGGAAGGAGATTCTCAGAAGTCAAGCATCTTGAGCATGGCCACATGCAGTTGATGGGAACACCCAGGACTCAACCTGGAACCCAGGTCCTCACCATATCCAAATACCTCCCCAAGTCATGATCATTTTCCAGTTCAGCCAGCATGGCAACAGATGAAACTAGATCTCTGGTGCTTTGTATGTGTCTGTCAATATTTTCACCCCTGTGCAGTAGGCATTGTTTTCTTATCAGGATTTGAACTCAAAGAATGATGTTCCCCTCACCCTGATGAGCAAAGCAGAGGGCTGATGCCATTGCCTGGGTGAATTGGGAAAAAAACTAAGCAAAGAAATAAACAGGAACTGTCTTGATTATTTGCCTACACCACCCAAATTTGCTCTATAATTGCTCTTTCCAGCTCTATTTTTGCATTTAATAGGTTTTGTGATGTTCTTCTTTGAGTAAGAGAAGAAGCACTTTAAGTTTATCTGGGTGCAGGTTTGAAAACCATCTGCATGGGCTATAACTAGAAGTGTAAACAGGAACACAGATTTGGAGGCGAGGCTTAAAAATATACTTCCCATGTCTCCAGGATTTGAAGGGAGAAAAGCTGCGACTTTTTTTTTTTTTTTTTTTTTTGCGCACATATTTCAATGCTAGTAGGGCCATTTCCTTCTTACAAGCTGTGAAGTGCTACACAGTCCATCTGCTCACTGGCTTCAATAACCACAAGAGAACCATCTCACCTAAGCTCCTGTTTTCTCATTTGTAAAGAAGCCGTGATAATAACTGCTATTCAGAGACTATAATGCATGCAGTTGTTGTAAGAAGTAAATGAAATACAAGTCATAGAAAGTACTTGGAATTTTTCCTAGTCATATGATAAGTTACTATTCTGGTTAGTTATTTTGTTACTTCTTTCCCACCTCCTAAAAACCCAACTCTTATTCAGACTTGAGAAATGATACCATGAAAAAATGTTTTTAATATTTGTGACAGTGTTAGATAATATTTGCAAGCATTTGATGCTCTCTGGATATCTTTAGAAATTGTGTGTGTGTGTGTGTGTGTGTGTGTGTGTGTGT